GCCAGGTTATACTGCTTATGGTGGGAAAACCGATGAACTTTTTGGGAACGACAAGCTTTCTTAGGGGGAGATGGAGGGTCCAACAGATCTCGGGTTGAAAGTTCCTTTGGAGAATAACGAGATTAGAGAGGGAGGGGAGAGGGGGAGGGAGGAGAAGGGGAGAGACGTAGGGACAGAGAGGGTAAGGCAATGCACTCTTAAACTTCTTTTTATATTTCGGTCCAAATATAAATATGGAGATCAAACGAAGTATTTGAATTATCTGAATTTGAATCTGATGAGGGACTTGTTTTGAATGGAATTGTAGAAGTAGTAGGTAATAAAGGAAGTAGTCGATATCAGTTTGAGGATTAGAATCTCGTTTATGGGAAGAACAAGGAACAAAACGGCATATCAATTAACATTAACAACAAGCTCGATTTCATCGGGATATTCAGGATGAGATATAAATTTTCATTCTACCGGTAAATACAATATACAGTATTGATAAGTCAATTCGGGAGAAGCTTTATAGAACAATCACATGTCAATATAGTTATCATTATTTAGTATTTTCGGTAAACTCCGTATATATATGTAGTCGAGTATGAATGAAGGGGAAGAATTAACAAGTTGGGAAGGAGGGATGGATTGTTGCGTGACCCTAGATTTAAGGGTTTATAAATAAATCAATCCAAATGTATACATTCTTGCATACCTTATCACCTACCGGTATATTAATCTTATATTATATACCGCAGTATTAAGAGTGATAGATACCCTTCCTATCAACATTATATTACCTTCGTATCATTGTACCTGCATCAATCCCCCCTATGACTCTGTTTGTGATTTGATCATTATTACCTGGAGGAAAATCAAATTCTACCTGGGTATAGTACAGATATAGATAACGATGAATTCCTTTCCGATTCGGTCATAGGATCTGGACCAATCCCATTACTAATTTTCGGTATCAATACTATCTTTATAGAGATTGAAAGAGTAAGTATTATAAAACCCTCTTTGACTCTATGAGTATAGACTCTAATAGATATTATTTTGTTTTGATATCGTTTTAATTAATCTAATATAATCTTGTTATATTTCAACTTTTTCAACTTTTCAACTTTTTTAATTTTTTTAACTTTATAATTCTGATTTAATATTATTATTATAGTACGTATTAAAGATATTAATAATTAAAAGTAGATAAGAATAGTAATAGAGAAGAAGAATAAAAGAGAAAAGTAAATAATAATAAAAGTAGATAAGAGCTAATAAGAATAAATAAGAATAGACAAGAAATTAAATTTCAACTAATATAATAATATTATTAGCTAAACTCTTGTATTATATAAAGTGATTTATAATCATTTTTTAATATATTTTATAATACTTATTACTATAATCTCCGTATATAAGATCGATCTATATATAAATGTGGCGCAGTTATTAGATTCGGTAATTAAAGAAAGTACAGTATACTAGTAAGTATATTTAAAATCAATAATGTATCAGAGTGCATTCTTCAATCCTGCAGTGGAACAATCAAAATATCCCAACATCAAACCACAATCCCATCATTCAATCTTCACGACTATCTGTACTGGCTGGTGTACACTCAACTTCTCCTCAAATCCTTAATCTTCTCGCACCGAGGTTAAGATATTTGCGGCACGGGGTTTTTACCTTCTCCATCTTTCCTCCGCATTTCCATCAATCCTCATTCCGGGGTATTTACCCAAAAGAGGATATACCCTTTCCATTGTAGGTATAAACAAGGTATGATACCGTTATTTTATGTTATTACCAAGTCAACCAACCCATATGCATTACAGTGACAATGCAGTTAAAATGATACCTTACTATGCCGGTGAATACCTCTTTGGACAAGGTATAGTTTCATCCCTTCTCCTCGAGGTTTATCGGATAATTACAATAATTACTTCTAGTTGTCTACTCATAGGGTACCGAATAATGCTGATCTTGGTCAGTTTAAACAGGAATGAATTTTGATACCCAAGGATTGTCTACCGCACAATGCAAAAATTATTACCAAGGAAAGCTTCTCAGAATCAAAGTTTTGATAAAGCAATTCCCATAATTTTACGACCTTTATTCCGCGCTTATATCTTAGGTTATACATCCAGCGCTGGACCTAGGTTATTAACTCTGTTCTTGGTCCACTTGAGTCGACGTCGTAAGAATATTGATCCAAGACCTGAAGGTGAAGATCATTTTTGGAGTTCATTGGTTGGAATATTAAAGGGAGGATTGGAATTTCAGAGATTTCCAACTTTCTGTGCTGCTCTGGTTGGAGGAAGTACTTTATTACAGGCACGTGAGGTGTTTTTGGTAAAAGATGAGGTGGATGCTGACCTTGGCTTTAGATTCCTTTACGAGAGGTATTCAAGAGATTATTGGAAATTGTACCCGTGACCACACAGTTGAGGTATGTGGGTTTATTTAACGTAAAAATGCTTTCACCGAGTACGAGAAGAATAATAGGATCAGAGTTAGATGCCATGCATCTCCTCCTAGCCTTTCCTGCCTCATATCTGCATCTTGTGGTCCTAAACATCATTGCTAGAGTCTCCACCCTAACAGAACATTGTCTAGACTCACTCGCTATCTCTCAACCTTCATATCAGCTTACTTCAGTCTCCAACTCCTTCAATCCCGTCCAAGTAAAACCTTTACCGAAGATCTCCTTTACGAAACGAAAAATGGAATTGAATCTCGACCTACCAGATTTGCTGGAAGAACATTAGACTTGACACTTTTTGCTTTTACCCGAGCTATCGATTGTATCGTCGGGGAGTTATGGGCTAAACACAAGAGCCGACGACAGGCTTCTAGGAAATGGTCGAGGGTAAGATTTTTGAAGCTTGAATTACTACAAACAAGTACTGATACAAACTTAGTTGGACAAAACAATCTCATCCCTCACTGATCCAACACTATTTGCCAGTTCTTGCGCACTGATAATGTGGGCATTCATTTATACACCTGCACGTCTTCCCCGCGCCTACAACAAATGGATTCAATCCGCCGCTCAAGTAGACTCTCGTCTACTTAAAGCTCTCCGCTATTGTCGCTATGGTGAGCTCAAGTACGGCGTCGAAACAGGGCAAGCACATCTCCTAGGAAATATGTGCAAAGACTATGGTTTACCGGAAGAGTACGGAGACCCCACAAAATCCATCCCATTCCCTTGTGAATTAGTTCACATGGGTTCTGGCCCAAATTGCGAGTTTCATGCAGTCTCGAGATTTTATAAATCTTTCATCTGGTCCGCATCAATGTACCTACCACTCAACCTAGCACTTCTTCTCCGAACCCCAAAAATATCCACAAAATCCCTCATCCATGCCTTTAAATCCTCAGCTCGTTCTTCTGCTTTCCTATCTACATTCATAACCCTCTTCTATTACGGTATTTGCCTAACTCGTACACGACTCGGTCCACATATCCTCGGTACCTCTGCACATGCTTGTCAAGCCATCGATTCGGGATATGGTATAGGAACAGGATGTTGGATGTGTGGCTGGAGTGTCGTGTTGGAAACTGCAAAGAGGAGGGAGGAAATGGGATTGTTTGTAGCGCCGAGAGCATTGGCGACGCTTTTGCCGAGAAGGTATAGGTGGGAGGAGCAGTGGATTGAGAGGGTGGTTTTTGCTTGGGGGGCGGCGGTGGTTTTTACGAGGGTGGGGGAGAATAGTAATGGGAAGGGGGTTAGGGGGGTATTGGGGAATGTTTTGGGTGGGGTGCTTAATGCTGGGGGTGGGTTTTGAGGGATAGGGGATGGGTTGGAGGGGATGTGCGGATCAGGAATATGAAATGAAATGAGAGATCTCGCATTATGAGGGTCTGAGTGGAGCAGTATGGAGTTCGAAGGTAATGTAATGTAAAACTAATGACCAGATAATACTCATATACATAACAAAAATGACACCTTCGAAATTTCATTCACTTTTGAAATTCCACGTCCAGGTCACTATCTGAATTTAAATATCTGGTAATTAAATAGTCTCTAGGTTTATTACAAATGTTCACATTACATACCTCATAATATCTACTCATCAATATCTACTCGAGTACAAGTACAAGTAAAAACATCAAATATTTCGTTTCAGCAACTATTCTCATATCCTTTCTGTACATCACATTACTTTACATTACTTTACATTACAATGATTTCGCGTGTGTTTTGAGGATCTAAGTATTGGTGTTGGTGTTGATGTTGATATTGATATTGGTATTGGTGTTGGTATTGATATATATGGAGGGAAGATTATGTATGTACGGTAGGTTAGTGGGAGTGGGAGTGGGAGTGGGAGTTGGAGTTGGAGTAGGAATAACGCTAGGATTGATTTATAGGGGTGGGGGTGAGGGTGGGGTTGAGGATGGGGATGAAGATGAGGATGAGGATGAGGATGAGGATGAGGATGAAAGGAAAGGGATAAGAAAGGGATAAGAAAGGGATGAGAAGGGGATAAGAATGAGGATTTATGAGAATGAGGATGAAAGGGATAATAAGGAGGAAAAAGATAGTTTTTCTTGTGAGGAGGGAGGCGGGAGGCGGGATGGGATGGGATGGATTTTGGGTTATGGGTTAAGGGTTATGGATGATGGATATAGGGAGATAGGAGGATATGAAGACAAGGAGATGATACGGTTGAGGGAGGTCAAGGTAGGTGAGAAATTAACCAACTGGTGGGATGGATTTGAGATAGGTTAAGGAAGGATTTTGAGATGTGTTTTTGAGATGGTGTTTGGGATGGTTGGTGGTATCAAACAGAAGTTCGCATTCATTGGTTCAGGTTCAGTTTCAGGTTCAGGTTCAGATATTCTGATCAAATATCTCTTTATAGTACGGTTGCTCGGGCTATTTCTATTATTTCTAAGTTCTAACCTATTCAAGTAGATGTCTGTGAGATCGAGAATCGAGAATCAGTAAAGGCTACTTGAGTAGATCAGATGGTGATTTATTAGTTTTTTGTATTGTTATGGTGTAGAAAAGGAAACTATCTTGAGTGTATTTTATCAGGAAGCTTTTATCTCTATATTTATAGAAGTGTGTGAGTGAGTGAGTAAAATTGGCATCAATTTTAAAATTTATATCTATTCGCTAATTTGACTTCAAGAATATCTTTTCGAATCTCGAATAAAGGAGAAGAATAGGGAAGTCTGGGAAGGTCACTCGTTCTCTGGGAAAGAAATTGTTTCGTAATGATAATCTTCGTAGTGGAAGATCAACCATTGATGTAGAGCCTCAGCTTTGATAGGCCTTCAAATCGTACAGATTCATAGATTATTTATTACAGATGAATACAGGATCTAGAGTATGAAGACAATACAATAATACAGGATCGTTATTGCAGATCGCGCAGTGACTAGAGCCCTTCGCAAACTTAAGCCTAAGTGGCAGAGTGGCCAATCTGTTAGCAATGATCAATCAGCATAAGTCAGCAAGGCTAGAGCTTCAAAATGTTATTAGCGAGTTAGTGAGGGGATAGTCTAGTTGCCAGTGATAGCTAGTTTATCAGCTGAAAGATGCAAAAGTTTATTGATTTTGGAATATATTTGAAGTATTTTAAAGCTATTTTGGGAGAGTTTTTTGATAGATCTTGAATATCTCTTGAATATACTAGAGTAAGTTTGGAAAAATTGATAAAATTATTAAAGAATGAAAAAATGTATTTGGAAAATAAAGAGGGGGGGGATATCGATGGGTGGAGGGGTAATGAAGGGAAGAGGGGAAAGGGGTAGGGAGCTTTCGAAGGAAGGAAAGAAGGGGAATGGGGGAGGGGTAATGATGGGAGGAAGGTATCGAAGGGAGGAAGGGGAATGGAGAGAGAAGGGGGGGGGAGTGGTATCGAATGATGGAGGGGGATGGGTAATTCTATCATTATATAGGATTATGTGTTAATTGATCAGTAGTTGATTAGCGAAGTCAGCAAGTCAGCTGCGAGTTGAGAGTCAGCTGATAGCTGACTGACTGACTGACTGATTGACCACTCTGCTAATTTGGATGCGCTATAGCCCACTCAATTTGAAAACAAAACCCAACAGACGACTACTACTACCAATAGTATCAAGCGTAGCAGGATGAAATTCCTCGACCAAACCCTCATCGATCACAGTCAAGGAAGTTTGACGAAGTTGTTGGAAAATATGATTCTGATGCGATGAACATAGGTAAATAGGCGCAGATTGAGTATCAATTGAAGAAGAATTAATTGGCTTTTTCGATTATCTACTCGAACACTCGTAGATAAGGCCAACAATGGGGGGCTTTTGGTTAATGGCTCTGAGTGGAATTTCTTGTTTCTTTCGATATATTAGTTTGATTTGGGAAATCTTAATTTAACTCTACTGGAACACTCGACTTAATGGAGTATTTAAATGGGTTTGAACAGGAACGTTGGCTTGAGACATCTGTTGAGTCTTGTTCCTGGAATACATTCCAACAGTTTTACAGGCTAGGTGCTGTGAAACTAGACGTTCCTTGAGCTTGCAACATTCTGACCTGCCTTTTAGTATCCATGAGCGAGTGTTAGTATAATAACTTTCTAAATAAACTCCAACAATTAATTATCTTTACACTACCAAGTTATACCATCATCTCTACATGTCTAATAAACAATACCGAAAAAATTCTTGAACAACATCAGAAGAGGTAAAAATGACAATATGTATATTCCATTCACCAAGAAACAATATAAAAACAACTGGAAAACAACACCACAAAATGTATATATAAATCCCATCCAACAGCCAGTTGAAAAATCCATTCATCAACAGAATCATCAGCATCGATCAACTCATCATAAATCATCATGAGTAATCAACCAGCTCCCGTCTTCTACCCACAGCCATGCAGGCAATGCAGATACCAATTACTCAAATGTTGCTGCTGTGGCATATGGGGTCAAGGAACCTCAGGATATACCACTGATCCTTGTGAAAATTGCGTGCAGGGATACACCTTCCCTACAGATAATGGAGGAGAGGCTATCTGGATCGAGTTCTGTGACCCTTGTCGGGATGCGATGCGATCTTCAAGTGGGGGAGGGAATCAGACGCAACCATCCTCATGAATGTGAGGAGGGAGGGAAAAAGAAAAATATTGGTTTGTCTGATGTTTTTCCCAGTTTTTCTCTGTTCTGATTGTTTCTGTTGTTTGCTACGTAGGCTGGGTTAAGTTAGATTAGATGTCGGTGAGTATCTGGCTAGTGATTCCTTGACTTCATTAGTAAAAAAAAATCTGCCCCCTTTTTCCTTATGTCACTTTGGGACACAAGTAGATAGATTGGCTGATACTGAAAGGGTATCTGGGTAAGTGATACTCAAAAACACAAAATAATAAAAAATGTATTTTCCTTAGAAATAACTCGAGGTCTTTGAATGTGATTTAGCAATATAATATGTGTGAAAAAGTAAAATCCTATTTTGTATTAAAATTCATCTTTCTCTTCCTTACCCTCACCCTTAGTCCTTATTTCTTTATCTCGGCTAAATTTGAAAGCACTGTTTTAACCTTGTTCTCACCATCTACCAGAATTCTTTGAAGAAACTATCGAGAATGGTTTATCTACTGTAGTTCACTTCAATTCTTTGTCTATTTCGAGAACCAGTCACTAGTCCTCAAATATACGGACCGTGATTTCGAGAAACCCCTTACAGAAGCCTAGTTCATTAATACCTATCTGACTGAGGTAGGTAATTCTTGGCGTTAATCTCGTTTTTTTTTAATTGCTCAGTCTCTCAGATGCCACGCTAACTTATAAATAGTTGACTCAACTAGGGCTTTATAGTCGTAACCTAAACTCACTTGATTGCTGTAAGTTATGAACTACTCAGAAACAATTTGCAGCTTCGTGACCGTCAGCAATCAACTCACCCAACGGATATCTGTATGCATCACTATTGTGCTACTTGTGCAGCAGTATACACAACCATAATCTCATATAAATTAACGGAGTTTATTTAGAGGTGGCCGTGCATGTGGTGACTATTGGGGAAATGCTGGCATAAATACCCACCAACCGTGTCCGTGATTTTGGTACTTTTACAGATGATCTAATTGCTGCCCTAGCTCCAGGCATGCATCTAATCACTTTTCAAGCCAGATATCATAACGGATCTTGTGGCAAATACAATCAATCATGGCCGCGATCTTCAGTATTATAGATATGCTGCGGCCTCTGCCAACTTTATCTTTGATCCTGTTGCTCGTTTACGTGGTGGCGATAATGACTCTCCCCCTCATCGTCATACTTAGAACAATAGTCTATATTCGATGCTTGTCGTCACTATAAAGTTAAGATACTACATTCTCCTCGGAACATCTCTCTAGTTATGATGCCATGAGTCCAGGGGTGAGAGTATACGCATGGTGTCTCTCTCTACTAAAAGCTCATAGTTACCCTCATAAGGCCTGCATCGGTACATATTCTAAATTAAGGACTTTGATATGCTGGTAAAACTGGCTGTATAATGAGTTCTTAGTCTTTGGGGGTAAATAAGTGACTTTTCTATGTTTCTCGTTGACTTCATTCACTTGAGACAAAGATTTTCTTTTCATTACGAATTTTGGTTCACCAGAACTGTGAAGAAGAGATCAAATTATTATCTATAAGGAAGTGCTTCAAGGTTCAAGGAAATGATGATAACACACAATAGCCCTACGCCTTGTACTCGGGTATTTGAATTTCAGTTTATGAAGCGCTTTTGGATTTCGTACAAAAAGCATTCATAATTTAGATACTATCAACAAGCCCGAAATCATTTCCAAAGTTAGAACTATCGTATACCAACAATAAGGGAGCCTCGGGAGGCGGCAGGAGTGTGGCAATATTGCACAAATATATGTCGTAGGAGAAAGAGGAGAAAACAAAGAGTTACGGAGGGGTGGAAGTAGAAGTCTCTCTAATTTAGTTAATGATTGAAGCTTGTCTATGTAAGCAGCTTTAATAATATTTTCTTGGTACTTTAGTCCTTCCTAACTTAATCGTAATGACTAACAACATTCAAGCTCATAGACTTCATCTTGACACTTGATGAATTAAGAGAACTCTAAAACAAACAAAAGTATCAAAAGATTCTCTCGGGAGATAAAATCATATTGACCGGTATAAATAATTGTCCACTCGTTCCGTTTTATGTGGCGGTCGCAAGAACAGGGGGGTGGCTGAAGATCTCGTTTATTAATTCAGTCGATCTATTATATTACAGGATATTATCTGCGTTAATATTTTCCTAATATTTTAGTATATTCCACAAAACTTTCTGTTCTGAATAATATCTACAAATATCAATTTACTCACCCTTAATACACACGATATGCCATATCAGGTCTCTAATACGCGCCACAGTTATATTACTACATACTAGCTCAAAAACTAACTCGACACGCAGGGCTCTTGTAGAATAATCCCCAAAATAGACCATTACTCCCCCTAATCCCCTGAA